CCAGAAGTATATTGGAGAGTCTTGAGCCAAACCTTTTGGAGATTGATCTCCATGAGAAGGCCATTAATGACACTCAATTACTTCTTTTCTCCAAGCAATTGATAGAAGAATTACGAATTAAGGGTAAAAATCTTGCTGAAGGGTTGGGAGTGAGACAAGCCCTTCTGAACCAGGATCTCTTGGTTGACCAAATTACGGAGCCAACAGCGGACAAAGTGGTCTTTTACAACATAGAACATCTGAAGAAAACTCGTGTCATAAGTACAACAAACCAGCAGGCCTCTATGGCAATGAATCAAATGCCAGCCTTCAATGGTTCTGGTCCTCTTACTTGGCAAGAGTGGTGGGCAACATTTCAAATGGCCCTTCACAGTGGCGTCCATTCAGACGAAAGCATTTGCTCCAACTTACTTAGTAAATTGAAAGGGGAAGCCCAGATATATGTAACTTCAATTCAAGGGCGGACATCTGCCCATTACAGTGTTATAGTAAAAACCTTAAAAGATGCGTACGGCCAAAAGGTCATCTCCAAATTGATGAGAGATTCAAAGAACATGCGCCAGAATCCTAATGAACAAGTTCAGACTTTTGGTGCTTGATTTCAACGAGCTGGAAACTTCTTGTTGGGTGATGCCTCCAGTCATTTAAAAGTAATTCAACGTGAGAACCAACCCGCTGCCCTACTTCCTAACCTCTTTTTTGTAAAAGAAAGTTGGGAGTATAATGGTAAAAATCCTTTTTAGAAGGATTTTTGGTCACTACTTTCATGGATGGTCTCATACCTGAATTGGGGAATGCCATTTGAATCACTTTTGATGATTTTGAGGCCGCCATCCAACACGCAATTTCAGTAGAAGATCGGGAGCGGGACATACAGGCATCGCAACAGGGCTCCTCCCTTCATCCAATTTTGTATCACTGCCCAAAGACCCCTCCAGTGTATAATGGGCAAGATAATTCTGACATTTGTGCTCCTACCTCATGTTACAATTGTGGCCAAAAAGGTCATTTTTGTAGTGAGTGCCCCGCATTGTTGAAGGAACCTGCTAAACATACACCTAGGAAGTTTGTCTATATTGCACCCAAAAAAGATGGTTGCACTCCGCAATTGTCCCAAGGGAATGTGAGAGGTTGTTCCTCTATGCGCAGAAATATGCGAGGTCATGGTCATGGTTGCGGCAGGAAAGTTGTGAATTTTGTGGAAGAAGCAATTGCTGACAAAGAATACAAAGTAGACAAAAATTACAATGAGCTCAAGGATGAACTCTTGCCCAAAGGATACCTCAATGAAGCCTACTCAGGAAACAAGTATTAATTGGCACTTCAACTTCTTCCTTGGTGAAGCTGCTGGTCGTCATCATTGCCACCAACGTCACGCTATTCCCAGCTAAGTTCCTTATTGATTCTGGGTCTGAAATTTCTCTCCTTTCTCCTACTGTACTAAAACCTGAAATAACCCCTATGTCTTCTGATATCACTATTGCAACTATTGAAGGGCGTCAAATGCCAGTGGTGGGTGTATTGAATGTAAAATTGTATAATAACTCCGCATATTTGGCAACTGCTCGTTTTGTCCTGTTTGATATCAGAGGACAGGAATTTGAAGGCATTATTGGGTCGGATCTACTGAAGCTACTAAAGGCTACTATTTTCTTCCCAGAAAGATGTCTACAGTTAACATCAGAAAAACTAAACTTTTTTACTGAGACATCTCAACAAAGGAAAATAAGAAGTTCTCTTACTAATGATCAACCTGTGCCTGAACCTCCTTTCAGGCTTTATCTCACATCTGCAACAGTCATCCCAAAACAATCCCAGAAACTGGTATTTGTAAAGCCATCCAAACAATCTGAGAAAAGAATCCAAGATCAAACAATATATGTCCCCAATAGTATCTGCAGCAATATCATAATTGCCAGAAGTATTTCTAGAAAACACTTTGGTTCATATCCCATTTTGTGTCTGAATATTGGAGACATGGATGTTTCCTTAACATCCAAGACAACGCTTGCCATTGCAAGTGTTAATGACTTCAAAATCCAAAATCACAAATCCAAAGTATTGGGTCATACAAAGAGCGCCCCAATGACTGATGCAAAGAGAAAGACCCTAGAGAGGATCCATGGTAAATTGGAAGAGAAGGATCTCTCCCAACTTATCAAGGAAAATATCAGGCTTTCAGAATGTCCTGATAAACTAATACCTTCTTTACCGTCCTTACTAAAATGATTCAACAACATATTGGCAAAGAAATCGGATCATCTGGGTTTATGTTCATTTTACAAAGCTGATATACCCCTTGATACTAATAAACTGGTGTTTACCCGCCAATACCCATTACCTCATGCAATGAGACCTGAGGTCAGCAATTATACCAATGACCTTTTAAGTCATGAAATCATTCAACCATCTAAATTGCCTTATAACAGTCCAACTTTCATGGTACAAAAGAAAGACGGAGGTTGGCGTATGGTAGTTGATTTCAGGCAACTTAACAATCATGTAATTACTGACCTCACCCTCTTCCTTGCATTAATCCGATATTTGAGGAATTGGGAAGCTCAAAGTATTTTACTGCATTAGACCTCTTACATGGATTTTACAATGTGAAGATCCGAGAAGAAGATCAATGGAAGACAGCGTTTTCTACTCCAATGGGCCACTATGAATTCATCAGGTTGCCCATGGGATTAAAAAACAGCCCAACTATTTTTCAACGTTTAATGCATCTAGTGTTGGATGGCTGTCTTGGTACATACACCTACATATATGTAGACAACATTGTAATCTATTCCAAAACAGCTGACCAACATTTAACCCACTTATTGGATATACTAACTTGATTGGATGGTGCTGGATTTTTGAAATGCCAACTTTTCCAAACCCAAATAGAGTATCTAGGGTTTTTAATCAGTGAAGCTGGCATCCACGTTAATTCAGCCAAGATAGATGCTATCCAGAATGTCCCTATCCTGAAAGAAGTCAAGGGAGTACAAGCTTTCCTAGGCCTAGTTGGTTACTTCCGGTTGTATATCCAGAATTTTGCCATTAAAGCTGAACCACTGTATCTCCTTTTGAAAAAAGATGTCCCTTTTGTTTGGACTAAAGAACAGGAGGATGCTGTGGAATGCTTGAAGAAATGCCTTTTAACGGCCCCCATTCTTTCCTTCCCGGATTTCAGCTTAGAATTCATTCTTACAACTGAGGCATCCACCATAGCAGTAGGTGCGGTCCTGACCCAAAAACCTGGAAAGAAAGAAGTTCAAATAGGATGCGCAAGTCGAACATTGAATGACGCTGAATCTTGGTACCCAAATACGGACAGGGAGTTGCTAGCTGCCTATTACAGTGTGTCCCAATTTAGGTCATACCTTTGGGGTCATCTGTTTACCATTAGGACCAACCATATTGCTAAACCCTATCTTAGCCATCAACAACAAAGCAATAGCCGCAGGGCAATAGCCTGGTTCATGGCCCTGAACAAATACCAGTATAAGGTTGAGTATAGAAAGGGCCTCGCGATACCTCATGCAGATGCCCTCAATCCATTCCCTCCAGAGCCTAGAAAGAACAAACTATGCGCATACCTATCTCCCTCATTACTGGAGACAAACCTATATATCTTGCGGTCTTGTCCAGCTGACAACAACAGCAGTTGAAAACAAGTTATCTTTTGGAACTGAATTTTTGACATCTGATGGCCTTCTAATGAAATCAACTGAAAAAGGTCAAAGAATCTGGGTGCCACCATCAATGAGAATGAAACTGATTGCAAGTTTCCATGACCCTGCAGCGGTGGGGCATTGTGGAATAGATAACACATCTTTTGCAATAAGAGAAGAGTTCACATGGCTGAAGCTGGAAAAATATGTCATGGCATACATTAAATCGTGTATTGAGTGTCAAAAGGCAAAGAATTATGCCCACAAGACCCCCTTTCTGTCAACTGGTATCCCAAAGACTTGTTTTGAAGACATTAGTATCAACTTGGTAGGCCCCGTACCTAATAGTCAAAGAGGAAACAGATATGTATTAGTCATGCAGGATAGACTATCTAGGTGGATTGTCTTTTCCCCTATGCGCAATGCATCAGCACAAACCACCGCACAAATATTTCTCACTGATTGGGTTTGCATGTTTGGGGCTCTGAAGATAATTCTAACCTTGACACCAGCATTAAAAATACAAATGATTGTAGTCTTGTTGATTGTGAGAAATCTATGGACATTGTTGATTATTGTCAGGTAAGAATATTGTAAAATCTGGTCACAGTAAACTCATGGGGACTTCAGGAAATATCTGTTAGAATAATTTATTTGTTGTAATTATATTTACAGAATGATGATGGTGAGCATAGTTTCAAATTAAACCTGCATACATTACATACAAGATCTTCCTTTTCTGCCCTTTCCATATGTTTTTCATGTTTTAAAAATGTTTTTCTAAAAAATGATGTCAATGATGGAATCTCCATACCTTCTTTACCATATTGTACATATCATTAGCTGCAGTCATGCATACCATCTGGCTGTTGTTGATTTTATGAAGATTCAAGTGTCACAAAATTGATATGGCTGCCAAAATAACAAAGTGAACCAATTTTTTTTTTCAAGTAACAGAATTAACCTCTTTAAAGGTCATGTGAGCTTGTGGGCTAGTTTTGTTTTCTTGTCTTACACTAGCTTCTTACATTTATTATTGTGTTTGTCATCTCATGCAGGCTACTTTCCACTATTGTATGGCACAGATCTTGCAAGGACCAGGGATTGGGAAGCACCCTGTCTTCGTGCGAATACATTGCAGTAACGAAATGATGGGAATTCTTGTGTCCAAAGTAGATAGCGCTGCCAAAAACTGATGGCCAAATATGGAAGCCTGCCTGATGCTGATGTATGCTGGTTCATTGCCACACGTCACCTTCTTCAATCAGAATATGCTGGTTCACCTTGAGGAAAAAATGTGCACATCATATGCATGATTGATAATAATGTGTGCATGATGTACCTATGTTTGATTTCATGGCAGGATCTCAGAGGGCATTAATTGCAGCTAATGCAAAAGAGGTTCGAGTAATATAAATATGCAACAGCAAATGCTGGGCAAATAGGAGTCAATGAATTATACAGGATTATTCCGCAAATGAATGAGTGCTGCCCCATTCACAAGATGTTCATTTTCCAATGGAGAACTGCATGCCTGTAAATGGAGGGTCAGGAAAATCAGAAGTCGGCTGGCAGTACGCACGGAATTAGCGCGAACACAATAAAAAAGACATCGGCGGGATGAACTGCTGATTGATTGACATCATCAATTATCAAGTCGGATTACGCTAGTAGACGAGGTACATCATCCGCTATGGTATCCATCACGCAGGAATACATCGCCGTAGATGAAAAGGAAATGATGTTGCCTCTGCTGTCATCCGTCGTCGATCCTCCTGTACACATCCTGTAATATGATCGTCATCGGTTGGTATTGCTTGATAATGGTCATATAAACAGGTGGAGCTTCCTATATAACGTACTGTACATGCATTATATTTGCATCCGCATATTCGCAGTATATACAGTACTGCTGCTGTTCCTCTGTGATACGATGGCGATCGAGTCAAGTGGCGTATTTGGCAGCGAGCACAAAGACGGCCAGGAGTCCAATGACCAGGATCCAGACAGCCGGCACTAGCATGCCCAGGTACACGCTGGGCTCAGACACATCCATGCCCTTGAGCATGACGTTGCGCAGGGCCAGGATGGACCAGGTCTGCGGCAGGGCCAGTGCAACCTCAAACAGCCCCGTCGGGTAGGCCTGTCGTGGCCACAGCCCACCTGCAGAAAAGCAAGTGCACGCAAGTTCATCAGGTGTGAGAGCATGCAATGGGATGCATTTATTCATATGTATGTATGTATGTATGTATGTATGTATGTGTGTACAAGAGTATAGTGCATTGCATCTCATAACTTGAATTTCCCCTATTCCAATTCCCAGTTATTATCAACCCCCAAAAAAATCCAATCCAATCCAATTCGACACCTCGTCCCGCTTAACTAGAAATTTTCATTGGTTTACTTGACTTCTGTCAGTCAAATTTTTAATGCGTTGTTGATAACTGAAGTTGGGCTGAATTTTGAAATGACTTTTGGTCAGTATATGAGAAAGAAAAAAGACACAGGCAAATAGTTTTCTTTATGCTTTTCAATGAGAGGCATTCTTGAAAGCAACGTCGTATCAAAATAATTGCAAGGGTTGCCTCAAGGTCTTCCTAGGAGCCACATGCTCATTCCACCTGGCGGATTTGAAAAAAAAATTGCAGAATTGTTAATCGATCAATGACGGAATTATTCATGGAGCAATGGGGAAAATCCTGGAAATTAGAATGACATGTGTCGCATGCAAGGAGTCGAAAGGGAAAGCTGGCGTACACCAAAAAAAAAATCTTCAAGAGATGGGCGTCTCATGTTTGAGTAAAGAGCTGAAAGTATCCAGCATGACTTGGCCAAAATTATTTGAAAGGTATAGATGCATTCAAAGCTGCATTTTCCTTTGGTGCAAAGAATACATTTTCTAAGGGATATTTTTTTTTCCAGCTCAATTGCATTCCTTTTCAATTTAAATTCCAGACATTTTCTTGACCACTTGAAAAATAAATATACTTGTACATTTTGAGCATGTCTTTTTCTCTGTTGCGTATACTGTACTTACTTCATTACCTGTCATTAAGGTCAGATGTGATGAAAATAGTACAGTGTGTGTCTATTTACTGTATCTGGATTCAAATGATGGATATTTCATGAAGCCAGTGTGGCGGCTGTTGATGAAAATGGCGGAATTGCCTTGGAAGACCTGGATGCAACCCATAAAAAAAATGTCACGTTGATTGCAAAAATTACCGTGACATGCTGTGGCACAGGGAACATCAAACTAACTACTATTTAAAAGTGAATGGAACAAGCTTCCATTACTTTTGTTGTTGCCGTGGTTGCTACAGCTGAATTTGTTGCTGAGCTATATTGAAGGTATAGAAACAGAAAGATAGATTCACTTTCATCCGTCCAACCTATGTACAGTACTGGATATCGTTCTTGCCGTGCAGCGTTTCAACAACACATGAGGATGATCATCGTTCATAGCTATAGAGAGAAAGACTTGCAACAGAATTGCCCCTGCTTTTTTTTTCGCAGCAGAGAAGCACACGCTATCTGTCCTGTAAATAAATTGTGAATAAATAGCTATAACCTGTGATGAGGGTGAGCGGCAACATGATGGAGACGTTGAGCGACGACGCTGAGAGATGATCTTCGCACAGCGCTGCGACTGACAGCCCTTCAAACGAATCAATACGGTCAATTAAGGACAGAACGGACCAGCATGACAGCTGACGAGTGAAACAACAGTATTACTGTAATAAGCTACTCATCCATTGATGCTCTGTAAACAGTATACAGAATACTGCTGTTCTATTCCTGTCACGCAACTGATGCTGTACTCTACAGTTCAAAGCAGCAGTAGCAGATTACCTTACTGTGCATATTATACACATTATACCATGGGACCTCAGCAACATGGTACCGGGTCATCCACCAGCCGTTCAAATCACAGTTGCGCACCTACTGGTTGTGAAGCGCCCGTTGGTCTAACTGCCAGCCAGGGCAGTCCTTGGCCTCGCCAATCCCCAGTCCACCAAACTGCGGTCCAGTCACCTGATTGTTGGGACACCCAAACAATTGGGTGACAAGAATCATGCTGATTCTTTCTAGAATTTGGTGAGCAGAATGGTATCCTACCACCAATTTTTTTTTACAAAATTTCATCTCATAAAATTTTTCACAAAAAGAAAAAACTCATCAAACCCAACCTAACTTAACCTCACATATCCTAACCTAACCTAAACTAACATAACATGAACAGACCTAACCTAACCTAACCTAACCTAACATTGCTGAAATTTTGNCATAAAATTTTTCACAAAAAGAAAAAACTCATCAAACCCAACCTAACTTAACCTAACATATCCTAACCTAACCTAAACTAACATAACATGAACAGACCTAACCTAACCTAACCTAACCTAACATTGCTGAAATTTTGAAAAAAAAAATCTGTGGTACAATACCATTCTGCTCACTGAATTCTGAAAAAAAAATCAGCATGATTCTTGTCACCTGATTGTTTGGGTGCCCCAAGAATCGGGTGACCAAACCACAGTTTGGTGGGCTGGGGATTGGCAAGGCCAAGAACTGCACTGGCTGGCAGTTGGACCGACTGGCAGGTGCGCAACCATGAATTGACCAACCAGCAGCTGACCAGACACACAGCAGCATATGCACTGTTCAACATATTGAGGACTTGGCTTGTGTCAGGGGCTCATAAGCCTCTCAGACAAAGATTGAAGTTTCACCCTTCTAGAGAAATAAAAGAGTGAGCACAATCGGCCGTTTGCGGCCTGAGGTC